CTTCACAAATCCAATTTTGAGCAATTTGTTACTCCATTTCACAGAAGAGAAAAGGCAGGAACTAAAGACTTAGAGAAATAAGGTCTTGCAAATTAAACAGTATGACATTAACTTACTCTATGTATCAGTTACAGGGGGGAAAAACAGCATTTATGTGAGAAATACATTCTTTAGTCTTCTCACCATTCTGAAGCACCACTGATACACATTACATAACTTAATTTCCCTGATGAAACTGTTCCCTGTGCCCTACACAAAAGATTAAAAAAGAAAGGAAATACAAAAACTTAGTTCATTCATGTTTCAATCTGGCAAATGATTTGTTCTAGCACATATCAGCACTCAAAAGCCATTCTGTATTCCTGCCAACTTGAGGCAACAAAAAGAATTAAAAGAAATGCTATAGAGGTGATCTAGCAAGATAAAAGAACAAACTTTTGAAGAAAGACGAAAAAACTGAGTAACATTTGCCAGAGATTACAGGACCAGGCTTTTAAATACTAAAGCTAATGTGGGTCTGAGTGCTTTCAACACTTATTACTTTAATGATTTTAGTCTGAAAATAAGTCTGAAAAGTCTGAAAATAAATTACTTCTAGGCACTTAAATGCTATTCTAATGGAAGTTTTTAGAAAGAATTCCACAGGTTAGTAGGATCAGGCTATATGCCAGTCTCATAAAGCCAGTTGTAGAAGACTACAAGAGAGAAAATGAGCCAGAAAGCAACTTATTCTTTGAGGGACTAGAAGACTCAACAAAACTTTGCATCTCAAAAATCCATATTTAAAATAGTAAATGCTTACAATTTTCTTTCTGCTGAAAAGCAAAGATGCAGAGAGTAATGTGTGCTTATTTTCACTTAAATCTCTCACATATATGTGCAACAACAGAGCAATATTAACCAATAAATAGCAATTCCAACTGTCATTGATTTTGCAAGGAAATTAAACTATGATTTTTCCATAAAAGACTCATTTAAAAACAATTATAAAACACTGTGAACATAGGGAAATCCATGACTGAAATTACCACCAACTTAATTACACTGTAGTGGGCTTTAGATATTGCTAAAGATTCAAAGCACATCAGAACCACTGGTTCATCATCAAAGCGATATCCTGAACAAACGTATGTATTTCTGAATTTTTAACAATGAAATAAACACTTCTTATAGCATGTATTCATGTTAATTTAACAAAAATGGAAGCCCAAGCAGATCCATTCTGCTAGCCTCTATTTAAGAGAGATATCATGCAGTAGGAGGCTATCTCCATTAAAGGAATTTCTCACTGGAGCTAAGAAGGCAGTTGCCAATCTGTCAATCAGTCATTGGGATATTGGATGAAATCTGCTCTGTACTATGAACTGGTAAAGGCAGACCATCGATTTGTCTGTCCAGAGGACAGTAGTTTACCAAACCATCTACTTCATGTGAAGAAACACTCTACTCCATTTCGCACTAGTCACTGAAAGCCGAAAACTCAGCAAAAATGATATAATTCAATGAGACTATCCTAAAATAATACCAAAAATTTAAAGTGAAATGGAGAAACAACAAGATCTTGCCTTGGGATGGAACTTCCTACTTCTCCCTAGTCTAACACCCTCATATGCAGAGTGCAAAGACATGCTTTGCTTTATGTTGTTTTTATTTTTGAGAAATTAATTTACACTATACGTAGGATTTCCCTATATGTTTCCTGAGCATTTTTGAGCTCATTGTCTGGACGGAGCATTTCACTGCAGCCATTTCAGGCAAGACTCTCTTCCTTTCTTTTATGTAAAAAGGGAAACCAAAGGCTCTAGCTGTAAATCTTGGGGGTTATATTAGAATGTCACATATCAGTATTTGTTGGAGCGTTCTGAAAAGTAAAGAGTGTTTTTAAATTTGTGAATATGCACCAGTTTAAGCTACAAGATATAAATGAGGCCAACACGCTAAGTTTTGCTGTTAGCAACTTTAGTGTAGTTCAGTATCAGTGCTGACAGGTATCAATGTAGTTGCTAAATCACTGTACCCATTATTACAAGGCTTTTTGACCCCAAAACACTACGGAAAACTGATATGCTTAATACAAGTTAGCAAAATCACAACTAATGTTGCAATGCCGTCCCATAACATTGCATCCCAATAAAAGTTTTAAAGAGAAAAAATGTGATTTAACAGTTATGTACCTTTTGGATTATGTATTTTTATATTTACATATAACTGTAGCTCGTTTCCCTAGATTACTTTGAATAACAGCAATAACAAGTAAAACAAAGAACAAGATTATTAATAATTTGTACTTACATAATTATGCTGAAGGAACAATAACTAATTTAGCCTCAAACTACCACTGTGAGGTTGTTAATTACCAGCCCCACCTTACAGGAGGGAAACGGAGGCACATGTGGGTTAAATAACTTGCCTGAAGTCTGGGGACAGAATCCAGATCACCTGGATGTTCTGTTTCTTACCATCAAATCACCCTTTCTCACTAGCAAATTTAACTGAGTATGTCTGAATCTCGCATGTGTATCTGTATGCACATGTGCCTAGTGTTTGTGTCTATAAACAACTCCCATTTCTGTATACACATACATCAGGGTTTTGGATACATGTGAAGAATAGCATGTATACATGCTATTTAAAATTACTAAGATGTCACAGATGTATTTCAAGAAATTCAAAATTTAGCACTAGTGAGAATTTTTATTTACAGTTATGTAGTACATGTTACTACGTGACATTAAAAGGGAAGGGCATTTTCTTGGTTTTAAAATAATTCATTTTAAAGTTATTCTTACCATGAAATCAAAAGTTCCTTTATTATCTGCTGACATTACTAATATAGATACAGCAATTGTGACTTCTCTTTAGAAAACACTGTGGTTGTTAAGACACGACAAACCAAACTCAAAGGAGCGCTGTATGAATTACATTAATTATCAGAGAAATATGTTATAGGCACTAAGTGTGTGCTATGTGTTAATTAGAGTATCTAGCAGTTAAATATTCTACTGTATTCCACAGGACTCCTGTCACCAGAGACACAAATCGCACTAAGATGTATAAAGGCAGTTGTTAAAACATAAATCAGTCTGTGTGACTTCATCCCTACAGAGTCCTTAGCCAATCACATAATCAATGGGAGAGAGACCCCAAGCTAGAATTTCTATGCCATTCCTTCTCCATAAGGCTAATCCGCGACTTAACTGCCCTGTATAAATAACCCGCTTCAAATTTATTTCTCAGGAAAGCGTAAGCTGTTTGCAACCCTACTTTACTCTCTGATCCAGTTCATTTCCACAACACACAAAAAAAGTAAAGAGCTGGGAGGAAGGGCAGGCCTCTGACACCGCCGTCCCCCAGTGCATTTTGTATCGGCATTTGCATTTGTCTTCATGAAACCCAGACTCAGATGCATTTCTACAGAGCTTGCATACAGCACTCAACTAGAACACTGCTTCTCTCTAAGTCTGGTTTGCTTGACAGTCTAGATCTATCTACCCAGGTGGAAATTTTAGAGAGTTTTTTTTAAATTATTTTTCCTGAGTAGTTTACAAGCACTTGTCAGAATCTTTAACTTTTCCACCTAGTCCCATATATTTAGAGTCATCACTAGAATTTCTTGTGCTTTACATATAGATCCTGTGTTGCTTGTGCGAATCTACAGTACCATATTGAATTATTACATTGAATTATTATGTCCAAGGTTGTTGCATTTGATAGAAACACTTTCCAGGATATCCACGGCTATATGGAAGAGTGACTCCAATGCACAGGATATTTTTAAGATAGTTCTGTCTTATCAGCATTTGCTATTTGTGTTGGTTTATTCACAAGGATGTAGTTAGCGATCTGTATCCACCTTAAGAAAGCTGGTGCAGTAATTTCCTACCAGCATTAGTATAACATTCACTGAGCAAAGAGCCATTTAGTCTCTGTTGAAGGCAAAAGGTGAAGAGATTTTATAGGTTTCTGATGAAAGTGTCCTAATTCGAGGCAGTTGTGATAATATGGAATGCCAAATGGTTAAGTTCATCACACCACAGTCCATTTTTTACCAAAAAAAAAAATCACATATAAATGACCAGCAAGGTGTGAATTCACTGGATTTCCATTCCCTAGGGATGCAGAGGTTGGGATAAGGAAACTCTGAACTGACTCACATGCCCACAGCCCTTCCTGCAGAAACAGGGGCCGGTGCCTGGTAGGGTCTGAGTGACACCCTGTGGTGAGAGCAAGGAAATACGAAGCCCTACAGCTCAGCACATCCTCCTCAAGACCCTTTGGATTTCCAATATATCCAAGTGGCAAAGGTCAGGTAAGAGTTTTCCCACCCCTGACTGCAGGGGCAAACACCAACGGAACACCAAAGGGAAATTCAAGGAGCAAGGGAATTCTGGTGCGCTACACTGTCCTGTTTGGAAGAGAACTCTGACATACCTGCCCTAAAAATAGGAAGTTTTTAAAAAATAACCATACAAAGAAAGCTACTTAGAAGAGGTATTTACACTCTTGGAAATTTAAAAAGAGACAGGCTGTCAGAACAGTTTTTTAATGTGACAACCAATCTGGCAGCAGATCGTTCTAGAGGTGCTTGGTTAGAAGAGGAAAGCAACCGAAATGACTGTCTGCAAGTGAAGGCACCTGGTCTAGAAAAAGCATCAAGCTGGTGTTTTACCTTTCACATACGGTGGGATTTGGGAGAGATACTGGTGCTGATGGCTTTTCAGAAGTTGCTATACTCATAAGAACATTATCCTATAATTTTAGAGTATCCTAACTACCATTTTGATTTCTTTAATCCGTAGAAGGGCCTAAGCCTAAATTCATTAGATTGTCCCACACTTTTTTAAGTTAAGAGCTTGAATTCACTAGGAGAGCATTTGTCTCCTTGCTAAGACTTCTCTCAGTACAAAACCATTTCTGAATTATAGACTTCCGAGAAAATATCATAGTGTTCAACCAGCCATCTGTTCTGGTCTAGTCACTTGTTTACAAATCAATTTCTTAAGCTGAAGAGTCCCAGCCTTCCACTGATTACCACTATTAAAAATATAATTAAAAAGTTACAGACAATCCTTCTAAAAATAAACACAAAGAAACTAGAACATATACAGAGAAAACAAAGAATGTGTCTTTGAATGTGCCTAGGACTACAAATTTGCTACCTTACTTTGAGTTTGAATTGTAACAAGTTTCCAGGCCATAGAAGAACACAAAATATATTATCCTTCTCCCTGGTAACTGATGATGGATGCTTTTTTCCACAGCACTGTTAAGGAACCTCCTCTCCACCAGCATTTACAGCCATATTTGAAATTTTAGTGATATCATCAGGGAAAAATAAAACGATACAGAGAAGTGTCTTTCGGTTTTTGTGTTCAGCTGTAAATATCAGCTAACCAGGTAACTGTGCATCTCTCTGGAGTTGATGCTCAAAACCACGCCTGAGTGATTGCCTATGAAAATATAAAAACAAAAGCTGTTGTTAGTATATTTTGGGAGCTTCACAATAAATCCTTCTTTTAGTTCAGGGATAAGTCAATCACATAAAGAGAATGTTTCTATCAAAGAACAGATCAAGTGAAGGTTGGTGCAACAGCTCCGTGTACCTACAGCATACTTTTGCTTAAAGCTTTTTGCTCATGATGGTGAATTTGTGGTAAAGTCCTAGGGTTTCTATCCCTGTGACAGCATAAGTTGGTTCTCTTTGTGGCTTACAAAGGTGTAGTTGTCTTGAGGGGTGCAGGTGAGGGAGGAGAATGGAACCTGAGGCTTCCATTCAACATGCCACTGACCTGGGACTGGACACTGACCGGCATCAGCAATAGGGGAACTCTGTAGCTGTTCAAGTTGCCACTTCTCCCAGAAGGAGTCACTGCAAGGTAATGGTGTTGAGGAGTCCCAACGTGGGGGTTGCGATAAAGTAGGCAACATAAAATATATAGAAAACAAAAAAAGTGGATGGGTGAGTCTGGAAATACTGTACTGTGGAAATTCAAAAGTTATGAGAAGAGAAAGAACAAGCAGAAACTTAGGCCTGTAAACCCCTGCTGTGCATGGAGTGGAGGCTGTTACAGTGACCTCTCTAGTAGGGGGGGAAAGAGCTAATCAGAATTAGCAGGGATCTCCCTCGCATAAGAACCTTCTGTAAATAATGTTGTAAAACAGAATTCAGTATAAAGCAGGGATTATAATATATTTCTTACTCCTGCCACATAAAAAAGAACAGTATCATATACAGGAATATACTGGACTCCAGTTGATGCTGGAGCTAGTAGAAAGTATTGCAAATAACAAAATAGAGCAGAGAGAAGTATAATTTTATGTCTTAATTAAAGTCTTTTGTCTAAAAACTGTACAGTAGCTGATGAATATAGATGATCATGACCCACAGAAATGAACTCTTCATGCTCCACTGGGAGTGCTCCTGATTTGCTCAACCTGGCAGAAGCACAGATCACCTTGAGATGTGCATTTGCTAACTGTCTACAGCTGCACATCAAAACACCATGATCTTGCACTCTTTAGTTCTAACAATGTTTTAACCAGAGGCAAGAAAAGTTTTCTCTCAGTAACGAGTGCAGCGCCAGGCCCATGTAGCCAAGAGCTAGCAAATAAGGCATTTTTCAATGTGTTACTACTCAAGGTGGCATTTCTTCATTCCACAGTTCCAAACTGTTTCATATAAATTGGCCATGAGGATTTTCTACCTATGAAGAGTTATGCTTTTGTACCTTTCTAGAGGCTTTTGAATGTTCCACTTTAATAGGCATGTCTGCCTGAACCTTTTCTGAATTTCGTATTCTGCTCTAAAGACCCTGGAGGTGACTTGATCAAATAATTTCAACGTAGGCTTTGTTTCCACAGGGGAGTCTTTGGAATTAACTCGGATAGAATTAGGAGTACAATCAAGGTCTTTTTGCAGAATCTTAATGAAAACATGATAATAACCATACACAAACTTTGCCAAAGAAAGTACAGATATACACAAAGTTTGAAGTAACGTTGAAGGCTGGAATCTTCACTTTTACCGAAGGCTAGTATCTCCAAGGACTCAGAAGGGACACATGGATCAGAAAATGAAAATAAGCACATCTACAGCAAAGGACAGTTAAAAGAAACACAAGAGAAAGAAATTTCTTCAGTGACAGATTTCTGTACTACCTGAGGCTACCCCTGCTCTAAGTAAAACAGATCTTGTCCAAGGGCTTCATGAAGACATTATAGTTGCCTGTTACACATTATAGCTACTGTTACAAATCCCAGAGACTTCGGGTTATGTGTTTCTTTTTCACAAAATTTGTAGAAATGGAACTGTAGAACTGCCATACTTCTCAGACTGTGATCTGAAAGCAGTCTGAGCAACAAATTTTATAGGAAATGAACTTTATAGATCACCACTCTATGCTACATGAAAGATAGCATTGGGGTGACCTGTTACACACTTCTATCTGATACAGACATCATTTGCAATAAGAGATAGTCACAGAAAGTTCCCCTCACAGGTTGCTCATGACCATCGCATGAACACAGGTGAACTACCAGTTAAAATAGGGGAGATTCATTATACTTTGTAAATACTTTTGTATACTAGGTAAAATTTAATGTTTCTAATTATGCAAACTTTATATTCTACTGGGATAGTATGGCAAATAAAACAACAGATCTGAATATGGATACAATCCATCTGAAACCATGGTAATATCAACCCTACAAACCACTCCACCACACCTCCTTCATTTTTCACAAACTGGAGGAATTCTTGAGGTAATTCGAATGTTAGCAATTATAGTAATTCAAATGTTAGCAATTATATTTTTTTCTATAGCAAATGTACTTCCACTCTTAAATTGTCTTGGTAAGTCTCCCAACATTAAATCTATCTTCTGTTCTACATGGCATATCATGTCATGTATATGACTTCTGTATGTCATTTCATCAATACATTATGCTGAATTACAAGCAAAAAGAAGAAAATCGAGACAGTCCTTTGTTAGTGGTATTTCCTTCTTCCTGAATCTGAGCAGAACATGGGGGCAGGGAAAGAAAAAAAAAAAAGGAAACTAGAATGAAAATCAACATCATTGAAGAATCAGTCACTGAGAGCAATTTATAAACTTAAATTGAATTTACCTCTTGCGTTACCTAGTGTTTGGGAATCCAGATCATCATCAATAAACTCCTCACCCTGGATGATGTTCTGAGTGTCCTCACTGTGATTGACAGGGCTTGTCATCTCCTGCTCCTTTTCATTGTGCATCTGGGCGTAGACATTTCTGCCTGGGAGTTTCCTAAATTGGACAGCAAAGAAAATCTGTAATGGCATTCCTCATCAAGCATAGGTTGGAATTAGCGCAGAGCTCCAACAGAATTAAATAAAATCAGAATCAGAGAGCAGAGACAATTACATCCTCCCTTAACTTTGTATTCACAACTAAAAGTTATCGACTTCTTATTCTTTCGCAACTGCATTATAACAACAGAGTTACTAACCTAATAATTAATTTATTGACTAAGATTGACAATGCACAATACTAAAACATTACCAGAAACACAGCAAAGCTATTTTTAGGAAGTAAAACAATAAAAAGGCCTCACAGGCATGCCTGCCTCCAGGTGCCTTAACAAACATTATGCTGTGTCACAACCCATTAAGTGCATCTCTTCGCAGAGCTAGACCACCACTGAAGGCAAGCAGGAACATAGAATGGCACTCGTCCTCTTCAACAGGAGGAAGCAGCAGGAGAAATTCAGGATACAAGGAATGGAAAGGGACCAGAGAGTGAAGAACCCAGGAGCTGATAAGAAGATGAGTGCGTGCTTTGCAAGGCATGTTTGGTAGGAAAAAAGCAGGCAGCATTACAAAAGACAGAGTAAAACTTGCCCTAAGGCCATTGGGAACTGCATTAGACAATTTTATATAGGAGATAGTGCCCAGGAAACTTTAGTGTAGGTATTGAGTTCTTAAATATGTTAAGTTTTACTTCATATATTCAAGGAGATCAAACAGGAATTTCCAACTTTCAACGGAATACAAGATTTGCCTTCCTAAGGAGCCAGGCCCTCTAGTGCAGCTGCATTCATCTGCAGTTTGCTTGGGCACATGAGGACATCCTTTGCTGTTCACCAACAGACACTTTTGATTAGGGTGTTGTAGGCTGAGAGCTCCATTTCCCACACTGCCAAAAGTGCCTTGACAGCTTGATCTGTGTGACAGCTGCTCACGGCTGTCACAGCTGGTTGTCTTAGAGATGAGCAGATCATTGTAGTGGACAGACAATATGAAAAAAAGGAAAATAGGGTTGAACTGTGGTGTTTCTACTGAGCTCCTTTAGCTACAATGAGAGGATAAATACATGAGTTGCTCTTTTTCTCTAGGCTTTTCTGAGATGACCCACATTTAAACATCATTTCAGAAGAAAAGGTTCTATGCCAAGTGACAGCATTTTAGTTTGAGATGAGATGTTTGTATGCTAAACCATTTTGAACAGCACCTTTCATAGCATCACCAGATTACAATAAATGGAATTGCTAGTCAATGAAACATGACAACAGAGGATCATCTCCCTTTAATTTGAGCTATCCATGAGATGGACTGCATTCTATATACGACATTTTTTTTGTACACATATACATGTTCATATATAGGTATGCATATACATACAGATATACAAAATCATATATATGCAGAAATCAGCTATTTCATCCCATTATTTATAGGCATCAAAAAGAAAGCCTGACACTAAGACTCTTTTTTGTACCTATGTGCACAATTAGTAAACAAACCACAGGCACTAACTAAAAGAATGAGGGTGTGATGGCACAGAACCGTGCTATTATGGCTGCTATGACAGGCCCAAGGGCTCTTCCAACCCAAATATTCATACAAAGCCAAAATCTGTTATCACTCTGCTCCCATTAAGAGATTTTCCCATTAAGGGAAAAACTTGCCACATTAACAATGAGGAAGGACATTGCTCATTAACAAATACATTAGATAATTAACTTTGATATTTTTCTCGAGGGCCAATAAACTCCAAAAGGTTTATAAAGTGTCTGCTTATGAAACTGGTCATGTGGAAAACATCATCACTCTCTATCAGGCCTACATCAAGCCTGTCAAATCCCCCACCCCTTTAGCACCTCTTCTCCTAATGTGTAAGGGAAACAAACTCCAGAAGACCATCTTTGTCACTTTTCCACAGATGTGGAATTTGCACATACGCAACTAAAAGAATTGAGGGATCTTCTGAAATCTGTATTCTGACAGACTTTGGAAGCATCAGTGACACTATCAAAATAGATTTAATGCAATATGACATCATACTTTTAGAGTTAAGTCAAGGTTAAGTTAAATCTACCTATTTAACTGCTGTCTGCCGTCGCTTTCCCCATGCTGAAGGACTTGTGTGAAACCAGGCCACAACACGTGTCCTTCAGCTTAAATCCTTAGGCTTCAAACTCATGTCTCTAGGGTGACTTACCAGTTAAGAGAGCACCACGATCACAACAGACGCTATTAAATATGCTAGGGGTATCTGAACGAAGGAATCTCAGGAATTCACAAGTAGCCATTAAATGTATTGTTCTTTAGGGCACTTTATGAAGCAAAGATGAAAGCAGAAAGGTCGTGAACTGTTGTTTCTCACTCACCCAGAAGTCATGAGCCCAGTCCTGCTAAGTACAGGAGGGCAGTTACTGCAAGGTATAAATTGAGGTACTCAGTGACTCTTCATTATTTCTCTTTGCTTTTGGAAGAAAGGAGAATATTACAGGTCTTAAGAAGGCATCACAGGCATTTGACCTTTTATATATCGCAGAGATCTCTATGTGTTTCATATTGACTCAACTTTACATGGCCAAAAAAAAAAAAAAAAAAAATCAACCAGACTCAAAAAAATGAGAGTCCAAGTGTTTTCAAGAGGCATTTTTAACATGTGCCAGATGTCCTGCTTGTAAGGGACAACCACACTGTGGGATGAAATGGGCTGTGGATACTGGATCTTTACTAAGGATGGACCCGATTGTGGCAATTTTCCAGTTGCTCCACACTGTTCTAACATGTAGGAAGGAAGTAGTTACCTCTAATTATACTGAAAAAAAAAATTTGCGTAGCCTATGTGCTTTGCTCTTTTTAAGGAAGCAATTTATACTGAGGACAATATAACTGTTTGAAGTAGGAACAGCTGAAATCCTTGGGTCTACATAAAAGACTACTGTGCAAACATGACAAGACATGGAATTTGACCCAGGAATTTTATATCAGCAATATGTAAATTGAAAGCATATTTATAAGAACAGAGAAAAAGATTACACAATACAGTTTCTTTTGGGGTTTACTCTTGAGCTGCAAGATGCATGTGCTTTGCATCCATCACTGCAGACAAGTGCCTCTGCCGAGCAATCCTTTTGTTTTCTCTGCAGCTTTTTATTTCAGTCATGAGGAAGCAAAAATAGTGACGCCTGCTTTGAGTAGCATAAAAATATGAACAGGAGACTTAAGTCTGCACTGAACTACTAATGAATGTCACTGCACATGGACTCCTGACAGTTCTCTAGGTCCTGCACCTTTCTAGAATATGCTCCAGAAAGCAAATTTTCCCCTCCTCCTAGTTACAGACTCTAATCAGATCATACCAGAAACTGTCTGCCTTTAAACAGTAGGAGGGGGATGACATAGTCATTCCTACTCCTTTAAGCTCTCATTTATTTGCTTTTTCGTTCCAGCCTTGTGGAGCCAATATTCATTGGCCTTTATGTAGCTTCATTCATTTTCCAGAGGCTTGATTAAGGTTTTGTTTAGTATAAAAAAGAGGAACATATTCACATGGAAAAGAATATGGAAGAACATAGCATCCTGTTAGAAATTAAATAAACCCAACAACAATAATAATCCATTAAATAGAGTATTTTATTGTGGTGTTTGGATTAATGTTCAGATGAATGACTTCTTTGTGCTTTAAGGCACTCGTGATTTATTTGTCTCCTGCATTATAGAATTTTTTTCTACATGCTATTACTTTGATTTGAGAGGAAGTTTTTATGAAATATTACAGATCATTAAATTAGTGCCTGTTTTTTATAACTAAATGACATGGATTGGGATTAAACTTGCTCTCATGGAACATAAAACTAGTATAAAGAAAGGTGGGGGAAAAAGATAGGCTTTCTTCAGAGACTGAGAATGAGATGGTAAGTCAATGAGGCAGAAAGATAACACAGTTCTGCTCCAGATTGTGGAAATAACCCAGGAGGGGGCTCATTTACCAGAAGTGGCACTTGATAGTACCAGGGAAAAAAAAACACACACAAAATCGTATGAATTTGGTTGAAGTAGATCCATGGAGATTTCTGAAAACAAGTTATACAACTTTAAGGACACGGACAGCAGTCTGCATGCAAATTAAATTATAAAGATTTTCATGCATTGCTGGGTAAAATACATAAGCATCAAAAACAACAATCTGCTCTAGTTTGGCTAATCTTAAAATCCTGTTTTTGTTTAGAAGAAAAAGAATAAGAAAAGGATGATTTCATATCTTCTGTTAGAAGCATAATGAATATACAGCAGTTTCGACGTGGCTAAAATATAAGTCTCGTTTCCTCCACTTTGCTTGCAGCAGACAGTGCTATTTGTCTTCCCTGTATGTATGCCCAGGCCCCCACACTGTGGAGGTTTTCTCTCTAAAGAGAAAGAAATCTCTTTTGGACGGCAATTCTAAACCCACAACAAATACAAACATCGTTTCAAAAGAAAAGGAAGAAGTGTTCTTTTATTGAATTAAATTTAATAAAGATGGTATGGTCTAGAAAAAATATATGCAGGTCCCACATCTGTATTAAAAATGGGACAATTTTCTCAAAAATATTTTCCAGCTGCTTTACATTGCTCTAGTCAAAGGAAGCAGCCCTAGTCCATTTTACCTGGATGGTGAAACAGCTGGACCATAGTGGTGAGTGTAGTAACATATTGTTAGCAGGATGCACGAGACTTGACCCATTTACTCAGAAAGTGAGAGCAAAGAAAAGGAAAACTCCTCTTGGCTTGCCTGATACCATGTGTGTTATATGCACAACCTCTTGTTTCACAGCCACAGCGAGATTTGGCAGCTGGGAGATCACCCCTTGCTATCCCTTACTGCCACACAACCCTGGTGAAAATTAAAATACAAAATAAAACCTAAAACTGTCATAGCTCACTATTAGTGAGGCTAGTGTAGGACTAGAATTGATGTTTAAAAACTTTGAGTTTAAAGGGTAAAAATACCTCTTATCTGAATAGCTTGCTTTGGCTACAAAGGATCAAATCCCTGAATTTCTCAGACTTTTTGTGCTTTGACTTTTCGGTCTAAAGCATCTTGCTGACAAGTCCCAGGCTAAATGGGTTCTAGAATCGGTTTTTAAAGCCCACATTCACGAGAAGAACTCGGAAGGCAACGTGGCAACAAACCATTAGCTAAAATGTGGGGGTATATGCAGTGTGGGAAGTGGAGGATACAAAAAAATGATAAACGCTTGCAATTTTATTGTAGATAACAGCAGAAGGCAACAGTCTTCCTAGTCATTAAGTATCTTGGATTACGGTCCATTTGAAACAATGTAACAATGTTCACAGTCATCTAATGACTAACTAGACAGTCATGACAGCTCTGATTATGCAACCTGACCCTGCAATTCTAGTTTTAATTAGGACTGTGGTAAATTATGCATTTTTAATCTTTCCATTTTAATGTGCATTTCTTTCCCAGCAAGGAGACAATATAATTTCTTTTTAGTCATATACTAATCAGCCCAAATCCCACATGCTTTGGATGCTTCTGTCTCGGCATCTCATCAGCATCCTGCCACCTGCTTAGTTATGCTCCCGTTTTTGTCCATGAGCAGTATAAAATGCATCTTGTGCAGGACCACTCTTAGATTCTACTTCTCCCCCAAACTAACTTCATGACATTAAGTTCTTGTGCAGGACACTTTTTTTTAAGCTCTGGGTATTGAAGTTTTCAAGAAATAACAGCTCAAACAGCAGCATCATAGCTGTTCTGACAGCCTCAAAAGACTTGTCAAAAAGGTAATAGATGAAGCCCTGATGTCTTAACACAAACTTTTATCTTACAATTTTGAATGTCAAAAACTAATGTAAATTAAGCCTGAAGTTCTTATGACATGAACAAATCTCACTTTCAGACCTAACCTGGGCAAGGATTGCATTCGGGGTGTGTGTGTGCATATACATATATATATATATATATACACACATATATATATATATATATATATATACACACATATATATATATATATATGTGTGTATATATATATATATACACATATATACACACATACATATACTCACATATATGTAATACTTGAGCAAAAGGGGTCTCAGCACTCAGCAATTATCAGTCAGATTATTCCATTCTCTGTGAAGGCTGTACTAAGTACTACACTGAAATTCACAATTAGGAAATGGGACTTTGAACTATTTCTTTACACATTTTATCCTAAAAATATCCTAAATCCTGAATAATTCCTCTCTTGGCAAATGCATGAAATGTTTGCACATATGAAGTTCTACTCCCTCAGTCAATCCAATCTCCATTTTTAAGCCTTATCTGCAGGCCAGTTATTTTAGCCTTTCATATTTTCAGGTATCTAGCTGAAAATAAGTCATGGCTGACAGAGAGAGAGAGAGAATAATTCGAGGCACATTCACAAAGCCTTCTGCAGACAACCCATCTTGCCTGCGCCCCAATGCCAGCTGGAAGTCTTGTAGCCCTGATCAGTGTAGTGCTAAAACTAGGATAAATAAACCTTTTCTTGACTCAGGGCATTAAAAAAAGAGGAATTTTAATCTTTCTCTATCGGGAATATCCGACTATCAGCTTACATCAGGGAAAAAGGAAAGCACAATCAAACGTCTTCTGTCTCCTCCTTAACTTTTTGAATGGTACATAAAAATTATGGACAGCATTAAAACTTCAACACGTTATACATTTCTCTAATTTCTATATGAAAATAATTCATTCTTACATTCACATGTGGTGCCTGAATTTACATATGGCCATTCTGCTGAAATTATCTCTTAAAATTTTTATTGCATATAGCACTCTTTCAACAAATTAATTATTAATATACAGGCACATAATATTGCTGAGCCTTCACATAATATTGCTGAGCCTTTGTGCATTCCAGATCGTTATCGGTTTGATAAAGGACACTTCAGTTTCACAGATTCAGTCCTAATAGACCGCACTGTAGACTTATATACACTCACTGAACCGACTCTGAAGGGATTATGCTTGTAAGTAAGTACACCAGGGGCATCCAACGATTTATTATCAGTCCTTACAAACACAGAAAAGATGTTTTGTTTTGTTTTTTATCTGATTAGTGAGTTTGGGTGGGAGAACAGTTCACAGGAAGCACCGGGGAAAACTGATCTTTCAAAGGACTGATTAGTGCTAAATATTTATTGAGGATAATATTGCACAAAAAAGGAGACAGCTGAAAAAAAAAAGTCATCTCACAAAAATCTTAACACATAATTCTGTCACGTATCTTAAAAAAAGATGAGATACAAACTAAAGCCACATACTACTACATGGTCATTCATCAATGCAAACAATTTTCATGAATTATATATGAAAGCATGTGAGGCATTATGGCTCACAGTTTGCTAAAGGTACCAGAATTTTATCTTTAATAAATGTTATATTTATATCCAAAAAGGTTCAATGGGCATTTTAGAAAGGACTCAAAATATTTTTTCTTCTTTTCTTAAATATTTTATATTCTTTTGCCATGCAGTAATTGTGTCTGTTATTTAATTGCCCTAATTTAAGGGCTAATAAAAAGGCATAAATCATACAGCCTTCAAAAGATCACAAGCAAGTTTTATGATCCAGCACTGCAAACAGCAAATCCTCCATGTATTGCTAGTGAAATAATAAAATTACATCGCATCAAACATTTTTATGCTTTTCTCTTTTCCTGCTGCAGGCACCCAAAACAGCAAAATGGATTTTTATTCAGTTGTAGAGAGAGTCTGATACAGAATTCTGTGCTTTGTCCTTGAGAGTAATCAGTCAGTATGAGCTCTGAGACTTGGATCCTGCAGTGAGAAAATGAAGAGATCCTGGCACAGAGCATTTTTCTCTGCTGACTCCAATTCACAGCAAAACAATCTCACACTTAAAAGCTATCTCCACTTGCTGTTAACACAAGCTCCTGCCACAACCATTTCTGTAAACTTCCGTTTATTTTGAATAGAAATCAATTTTGAAATGATGAAAGAAATCAATAGGAGTGCTCACTGAATACATCAGGATTTGATGGTAACAAAGGATTTTGCTCATATGATCAAACCCAAAGCTGCCAAGTGCCCAAGAAAAAACAAACAAACAAACAAAACAAAACAAAACAGGAGCACAGTTAATGATAAAACAAACACATGAACAAGAAAGAAGTTCCACAAATTGCACATCATCCCAGAAGCAATGACTACTATCAATTGCAGATGAAAGATGTATTAGAACTGTTAAATGTTAACATGATACCTATGGTCCATTTTGAGCCTCTATCTTATATAAAGGTCCTTTCCAGATTTCTTTTTTCCCAAAAAACATGCAACTGTCAAATTAACACTGATCTATTTCCATCACGTGAGTTACCTTAATCAAGTGCCACTATCTCAGTAATTAGAATTCAATGTATGCAAAGATAAACTCCCCACAATTAAAGGTTTTGATAAAACTTTTTTAAACAAATCAGCATTTCAGATTTACTGCTCATTATGCTGAAGTCTTTAGTTTATTCATAACTGCTAAGACTAATGATGCAAGAACTAATCAGTAATAATATCTTAGCTCAGCACTCTTTCTTGATGATATTATTTAGACAAGCTGAGCAAACTCTCCATAGTTCCCATGTTAGTGCTATTTTATCTTGAAACACAGCAGGAGAAATCAAGCATCAGGATAGTACCTTAATGCCTGTAAGGGTCAGAAAAACACAGCTTTCAAAGCAGTAGGCTTTTACAATCCCTCAAGAAAATCTCCTTTTCAAATAGCAAACTGAGTTTACTGATGTGTGGATAAATCAAATTATTAAAATATATTGTTGATTAACAATTACTTGCCTTTTAAATTTGTAGAGGATGAAAGCCCCAACTATGACTAGACAGATAACAAAGAGAACCACAATAGCCCAGTAGCCACTGCCTCCTCCAAGCCTTTCAGAGTCTGAAATAAAAAAGAAACCAAAAAAAAAGTTTAGCACATCCTCTTTCAGATCACTCAGATTCTCGAGCTTTCTTCTGAACTGCAAAGTTGAAAACATTCATTATTTGTGTAATCGCTCATTCCATCTACAGCCTCTTCAAACAGGCAACAATACAAAATTGACTGGTGACTTCTTACTCTAGGAGAGGGGACCAGTTTCAGATAGAACTCATGAAGACTGAATTATTTGCACACACAGTATTTTCTTTTTTCTAGGAATCTCAAGTTATCAGAGGAAATGATCACATATCCCAACTATTTATGATACAAAAGCAGGGCTGAATTTATTTCGCAGATGGAGAAACTACTGCTCTAAACAATCAATGGGAAAGGCTGGAATGAGCATGTGGTTATTTTAATTCTAGCTTTTTGTACAGGCTAATGAATGTTCTCTCTTTAAGCGAGTCATTTCTACAGTGACCAGACTAGATGCTACAGCAAAACTGTAGCATGATACTACAATAAAGATGGCAAATAAAAAGATAGCTTTGTCTTTTCCAAGGAGCTGACAGATAAAATATGATTTAAATCATAATTTACATAAGTTGATTTTGCTCACTAAAGGTGTTCTGCCCCACTACACTTGAGTAACAGACAAAAATATGTTATGGGAGATGATATACAAAGATGATAGGACAATCTTATACAAGGTTCTACTTATAGCTGAACGTTCTGGTTAAAGCATCACTTTTAACATATCTCTGTTCAAAATATACACACATGCACGAAAACACACTCTTTTCAACCAGTTTCTAACTAGAGTCTGTATGCAGAGGCACAGAAAATACATGCCAGCAAACCCTGCTACTGGTTGTTTTAAAAAGGAGAAGGTAGCTCATATATCTCAGGACAAGCAATGCAGTGCAGTGCTGTGTGTGGACCCTACAGCAAGTTTCAGATCAGTTGATCTGTCAACGGGGGACGGTTTGGTATCATGCAGGCATACAAGGCCATGTCCCAGACGCATGGGGTTTTATTAGCAGAGTTACTGACAGACAGCGAGGAAATTTTGCTTTCTTGGCAGCTAATGCAGCCAAATTGCCTCTAAGCTCACCAGGTGGCTTTTCCTGATGCCAGGTTGGCTCCTCCTTCATGGCAATGTTTTGTTGAGCACAATCATTTATTAATGCCATGGTTATACAGAAAAGACCAAGGGTGAAATAGGAGGAGGAAGTTTCTGATACAAACCATAAGGTATTGTGAAATGAAAATATGTAAGAAAGATTAATTTGACAGTGACAGTTAACAAATACCAAATGTGTGAATTCATACGCATATATGTTTGTGTGTGTGTGTGTATATATACATATATAGATATAAAATATCTATAAGTATCCAGCTACGGAGATTTTCTCTCTAACAGTCATTCCCAGGTTGATTTGTTGGGATATTTGTTTATATAATTTACCTGAATCGGAGTCAGCTAAAGTCACTAAGACCCAGTGTCCTCCCCGCAGAAAGAAACTGATGTTGTGCGCGTTCAAGGCCTGCTTTAAAGCCGCTATCCTCTGAAAATGTGAGAGAGAAGGTCAGGCACCGGTCACTTGGTTCTACAGAAGGAAAACCTCTTGTTCGTTATATGGTGGGAAACATACATGTTAGAAAACATTTGTCAGCAATGACTTTCTCAAAAAAAATTCTGCATTTAAAAATCATGCAAAACTCTGCGAATTGTAAATGCTGAAAATGTCAAATCTTTTAAGCCAGATCTTTCTTTCTGCTTATCAAACCCTTTACGTTTACCCATTATGTGACAGGCTCTATCTCATTTACATGCACTGCTCAGTTTACCTCAATCATAACTCACACAATGCATATTCCATATCGAAAACTTTATCCATTCTTCTAACAATATCAGCAGACAAATTGCAAGTGACAACTTTAGATTTCTTATTATGAAAAGTAATTGTTCGATAGTGAACTGTATGTCATAATTTAACTCACTTCTTAGCCATATTGGGATGGATTCCGTTTATACCAATTTTTGATAGTACTCTCTACAAAGACATAGTTCCATCCATGTGGAAAAAAATAGGATTCCTCCTATTTTTCATCCAGAGGACAGGGCGCACTAAAATATAGGCTCTCACATTCTTACGGGACAGAACCATTAAATACACCATCATATCCTAAGCCCAGATGACAAATTGTCTCAATTTTCCCTTTCACTTGCTTGCACCTTCAACATGGGTAATTTTCTAAAAGATCAAAGCCAGTTTTATAGTCCATGCCTTATAATTCAGGATACGACTTCCCACAGGATGCCAAATTAGAAATATACTTTATAACCATGAAACCTTCAAGAGCAACTTCTTTTATGATATTATCAATTATGGTACTCATTTTTGACAAGCCTTTGCAGTATAATAGACAGAAATCCCTGCAGTCTCCCTCACATTATGGACAGAGATTTCACAAAAGTTCAAATTCAAATATGCTCACTCATACTGAGGGATTTCTAACTTCTGAACTGACTTTATTGCACTTTTTGTGGGGTAATTATTCAACATAAAGGTGATATAAGTGTGTCCTCACTTATTTTACAAGAAAATTACTCCACATAGTTCTTAAGTACTTACCTTTTTGTCCAAAATCTGAAAAGAGAATACATATCACAACTATATTGATTAGCAGACTTTAAAGCGATGCTGGCACTGCTGAAATAAAATTATTCAGTCCCCGTCCAAGCTTGCTCACTCTTTCATAGGATACAGTGCAAGAGGGACCACTACTACAGGTTAATCTAACTTTCAGGCATGAAATGCAATCACTGAGTCCCATAACTTATCTTTGGTTATATCATATTTTCCTGGCAGGTATTTAAGGAATCCAACATTTGCTTTGGCTTTTAATGAAAACTTTTTCACTATTTCTCTATCTGCCTCTGTGTTGTCACCCAGAACTTTTCTGAACTATACTTCCAAAGGTCAAATATTTGAATCTAATTTCTAACTGTGAATTCAGCCAAGTGTTCTGACTTGTGTGTTTCGCTAGAGGAATGATGAACGTTTCCATATTCATTGAGATTTCTACACCATGAGGTGTTTATTGAGCACACTGATTTTACCTCTCCAACTTTTTTAAAAAACTCTGTATTCTGAGCTGTCTAGAGTCTCCAAGTTAAGGTATTTAAACTGGCATTTAATTTATTTTTTTTCTGTACACTTTCCAATGCCAAGATTTGAGAATGTAACCACATGGCTCTTGTACTGTGGTATCAGAATATAAATAAAAACAACAACAAACATAAAAAAGTTAAAACAGCAACAACAAAACCACACCATTTATAATTCAAACTTATATACCCAGGGATCTTGCTCATTCTGTCACAGCAACTCACTGGAATTTTTATTTAGTAGCTTGTCTAGATAGATCCCTAAATCTTCCTCGGAGCCATTGTTTTCCTATAGCTTTAAGGCACTTTAACTTGCTCTTTCAAATGGGTTCATCCCACCTGATATTAGATGTGTAATGAAAGTGTTTAAATTAAGAGAGCAAGTCTTCCTCTGTAGTCAATGATATGAACAAAATAATTCTGAAATTGCTATGCTGTCAAATCAGGTGAGAACACTCTCAGCCTTTATTCCTGCATGCATTATTCTTGAAAGTGGGCTTTTGTCCAAATGGAAACAAATTACGGAATTATGCAAGGGGCTTCCTCTTTACTACTATACTTTCAGCTTATTAACAATCTTTGTACTGATGGCTACTTTTATTAGTATGGAATTTTATACCAGATTAGTAATGAAGTTAATAAATAGCCCGAGGTTATAAAAATCCATGTAGAATGCCACTAGAAACTCCTCCGAAGCAGGTGCTTTCTGCCTATACTAGAAATTATTGCCTTTAATGGACCTTCTGAAATCACACAGTATTCTAAAACTAAAAGTTTTTCTTCCAAGAACAAATGGGTTCTCTTTTAAGGGAAGACATTTCATAACTATGTCTAAGGTAATGACTTTAGGGGCAGTTCAGCCTAACGTGCAGAGAACTTTCTGAGTTAAAGGAGATACAATAATATCAGAACACAGACATGAGAGCTGTCACTAGCAGCACAATAAATAGCATCCTTTCAGTGAAACATGAGAAGAGAGAAGGGCCAAGGGCCTTCAAACTTTTCTTTGTACGTTCATCGTTAAAGTAGTGTTACTACGAGGTCTTTTCAACTGACTTGACCAGTTAATGCTCGTAAGCTTACAGAGTATATTTTATGGGTATTTCTTGAGTCACAAGGGATTCTCATATAACATGTACTTTATCAAAACATTCAATTCAGAATCAAAAAATGTCAACAATTAAAGTAATATCCCCTAGCAATAATAGAAAAACAGAAATTTGGGCAGCTTGTTCAGAAGCCTGACTCTACAATCTGCACTCTTTAAAACAATCAAAGTGTTGGGATTGATACTTAGATACTTGCCTTTATCATTATAGAGCATATGTCACTATATTTGCTTCGTTTGCTCCTATTTTCTGCATGTGTTATCTCCTGACCACTGCTGTGACATAGTCTGACCTAACAGGGTCAGAAATGTACAGCTGTTGCCCAGATTGCAATTACTTTCACCTTCCAATGCTTCTATAGTTCCAGAAACCCTGGGCAAGGTCAGGCCTTAAGGGGGTACTATTTATTAAGAAATTCTGCTCTCTTAAGATATTTTATTCTTCCCCATAGTCACATGAATATAAGTTTTCATATTTTTTTGCAACATGCAATTGTTATTCTTTAAAATAACTAGCAGAGTATTTTCTACATAAAAAATGAAAAAAGAAAAAAGAGAACAAAAATGAATATTGTTGATGATATACTTCAAGCTGCCTAGAAGTACAGCACTAAGAACCGTTGAGATTTAAAGAGAACTAATACATACAATATTTTGCACTAAAATAAAAAGTTAGCAGAACCCAAAGGTCTATCATCACCTGTTTATTATTATTATTAAAGGTATTCATACCATATACACATGGAATGAAGGGAAACAGTTTCCTTTGAAAGTTGCACCTCGCTTCTTAACCAAGTTGAAAGATTCAAAGAATTTTCAAGTGGTAATGCACACATAGCTTACGATGGGCTTCCTACTAAAGTAAATATTATTAATATCAACTATTTCCTACAATATGATTATGATTTTAGACTCCCAGAAATTCTGACTGTGATTAGGGAGGGAAAGCAGTAAGGTTTTGAGGCAGCAGTGGACAGGAAAATTCTGTGCATTCACACTATTCTCTGTGTGTTTTGCAATAAAACACCCATTCATTTACTTGAATAATATCAAAATACCCCTTTCGATCTTCTCAAGTGTACTGCATCAATTTCATGAACAATCTAAAAGTATCAAGATAATCTAAAGAGCTCTTTTTACCTACTTTTTAGGCTTTTTGGATATCGTGACCTCATTACAAAAAGTGCTAAAATGCCTTTTAAAATTAATGATACTTTACACTGTTATTCCCTGTAACTTGCAAGACTTGAATCGCAAGAACCAAGCACAAGCACAGAGCTGAGATCTGCTCCTCTATCACAGCAAAGAGCAAGTATCACAAATTCCAAATCAGAAGCAAGGGCCAGGCACACGGTTTTCTATTGGAAAAGGGAGGGAGAATCTTATGTCTGATTTTCATTGCTGTGATCACTGCATTGGTTTCTTGTTAAGTGAAAAGGATACATGCTCATAAAAGCCAGGAATTACCTGCTTGATGCTCATTACAAAATAGGTCAACTTTTATAGGTTGACCTATAGATTCTATTTCAATTGTCTATTGAAATCTATTTTCCTCTCTCTAGAAGCACCAATGTTCAAAATGCACCTTTTGCCCTGAAAAGGATACATGCTCATAAAAGTCAGGAATTACCTGCTTGATGCTCATTATAAAATAGGTCAGCTTTTATAGGTTGACCTATAGATTATATTTCAATTGTATCTGAAATCTAATTTGCTTCTAAAGACAGTGAAGAGATGGTGTTTCCTCTCTCTAGAAACACCAATGTTCAAAATGCACCTTTTGCCTACTGTATCTTCACAGACTGGCAAGCCATCGCTGTAGTTTCTGTTCAAAAAGTTATTATTCCTGAGACACACACTGATAACACCAAGCACAAGTTGATGCTGGGGAGAACATGTGCTGCTGCCAAGTACTGCACATCTCTCTGCAAAGGCATCACCAGGACTGACCTTCAGTCGGTCACAGGCTGGCACAGAATGGGATGACAGATAATTGCTTCTCCTCCCTCTTCTCCTGTGGCAGGATCTACCCCTGCATCAGAAGGTGCACTACACACTGTCAAACACAACAGCCCTAACTGTTCCTAGCACTTACATGTCTCTCCAGATGGGAGTAAAATCTTCGTGTGGTCAGGAAACACCTCGTAATTCCAATAAAAGCCATGATAGTATAGCTGTTGGTTTCCAAGTAGGATTGTCCTAATTAGACACACATTTCTCTGATTACCTTATCACTAGTTACACTCATCTTCCTCTTTGGCTGGTTTGCTGGTAGTAGCACATGCAAGTCAGCAGTTGTGGGCAGACCAGGTTTCACAACTGTCACAAGCGTTTCTTCAGGTATATTAGTTTCCTGTGCAGACAAATGTATGCGGTAAATTACCAGACAGTGTGCTTTAATTTTTCTCTTCTAATATTATATAAAATACATAAGTAATTCCACACAGGTATCTCAGTCTTTGGTATTCAGATTCTTAATTTTTAGAGTGGATTATACATAAAGCTAAATTATGAATAAAGCCAAATATTAACTAATTAACTAATATATGAGTAGCTCTTTGCAGATTTGAAGTGTTATCATTGTTATCACACCAAATAATTTTAGTGGCATCACAGAAAGAAGCAAAACTAAGTGGTATGCAGTTTTAGCAAACTCTAACGGTTGCATATTTTTACGGTGACTTAAAAATTCCTAAGCAGTTCAGAATCCTTTGCGAATCATTCAAATGCTTAGTGGACTTAAAAGGGCATATTAATTACACTTATCTTTAGCTTAGGGAGACTACTTTTTCATGTGTGTTTAATTAGCAGAGAGAAGTCTTCCACACAGCTATTCAAAGTACCTAGATTCAATTTCTGAAACTGTTTTTATGAAAACCTGCACTCCACTCACCCCACTGAAAGTCATATGCTTTCTTTCCAAATAAGCTTTAGAAAATTTAATTTTTATTCCCATATTCCTCTCTGCATTATATGAGACAGCGACAAAATTCTAATGACAACACCCTGGGAATTTCTCAGAAATTACATTAAATTGTTCATATAGTTTTGCAGATGTAATTATTAAAATGCACAGGCAATTTTATAAGGGATCTAATTATTTGTTTGACTGACCCTGCTTATGGAATGGTTTTAAGCTGATAAAAGTCGGAATTTATTTTGATGTGACATGTGAACCTCAAAAAGACAGGAAATGGTATGAAGTCAGAACTCCAGATCCTGAACTCCCCTGTGCACTACTGCAAACCCAGAAAAAGCCCAAAGACTTCACTGGCAAAAGCTGCCCCATAAGGCTGAACTCTTCTTCACACGAAAGCCGTTTTAAGGACATTGCCAACTCACAACTCAGAGATACTCTCCTTGAGAGAAGTCAGTTTGCACATGCTGCATTCTTGGCAGTGCGTGCACCTGAGGAATACAGTTCTGGAACGCTCTCTTTTTATGGAGTGCTCATTACTTACGCCACAGAACTGCCACATGACTTTGTACTTATACTTCATCTACTGGATTCATCTGTTCCCAATCCAGATTTCATTGGCAAACACGATCTAAAGGATCAGCTGGAGCAAAAACATGCTCAGGCATTTTAGGCAATTTTCAGTTATACACATGACATTGTATGTTCTTTTTGCTTTGATTTATTTTATGCTATTTTATTTTAATTTTTATTTTACAATGAAACCAAATCCTTCATATTGGACAGTACCCATAGGTTTATCACATTGAAGCTACTCTTCCTGTTTTGGAGTCAGCACTATTTGCCACTATAGCTTTGGCAAATCCCAGAGACCAATACCTCACGTTAATTGCCAATTAGGCTGTGTTAGAACTAAACTTTCTGTACTACAGTATCATTATCCACAGACGGGGTGTAAAAGTGACACTAGGCTCAAACTTGTTGGAAATGTGGCTCGTGGGGTTCATTTTACTGTTTTGCACTGCCTACATTTTTCTAAATGAGAAGGCACTAACTTAACCTTCAGGCTTTATGACTGGAGAGGGAACATTTTACGAGCAATTTGAGAGAGCACCTTTGCAAGAAGTCGTGTTACTACTCGCCCTATGTCTTCCCTCCATTCTGGTATGTCGGGGTTGTACATGTCCAGGTGCTTAGTAAACTTCAGAGAAAGAACATGAAAATGATCTGGAATGGCAAAAGAAACATTTTTGAACAATTAACAAACAGAAGTGCAAAAAGTTTTGCAGAAATAAAAGTTGAAAATGTATTTTCAGTGTTAGGTGTAGTGCTGTAGTACCTAGGAAACCTATTTCTATGTGTTGTTCAGAAAGAAAAAAAACAACAAACCCTTCCCCCAGGAGCCTACAGTCTATGCAGCATGAAGCAAGATTACACTCCTGTCAGCCAGTCAATTTCTTTCTGTATTTTTCTCAACATCATCAAATTTGTGCCTAAAGATAAAAAGGCAATACAGAGGAAGAAAAAAAAAAGAGATTTACATTCATGCTCTGGGGTTATAACGGGTTATAACCTTCCCAATAATTTTTCCTTAAGAAAATAAACTACATAGACACGATTGGTTTCTTTCATTCTTAATGGGAATGTGCCAATGGATTCTATTCTCACTGAATCATAAACATCTGGTTTTTGCTCATTTCATGTTCCTGTTTTTCCTGCAAAATGAATACTTTACGTATTCCATAAGCTAGCCATGAAAATAAGAACAGAAATGACATGCCAAAGGCTAACTACTGCCTTTGAAAGAATAAAAACAAGATATGCTCAACACTTTTATGGATGTTGTCCAAAATATCTGAAATGCTAGAAAAGGGCTATTCCTCAGAAAACAGGCCTCTAAATAATCTTCCATTTCGCCTTTATAGGCTCATTGGAGGAACGCCTGAAGAATTCAATGCAAAGTAGATAAAACATAATGCAAAGTAGATAAAAGAGATCCTTTGAAATGCATGAATCATTCAAACCTGGCTTTCTGAACAGTTTAAACATATATATATATATATATATATTTTAAATCTCCACCATGACCAGTACCCTTCTTGCTCTTTTTATGAGGTTTTGCCAGTTCTAACAGTAGAAGCAATGTTGGCAAGCCAAAGTCTCTAAGCCAGTCATACTAATATGTTTATATTTTTAAAACTTTCTAAGAAATGGATGCATTTACGAGTTGTAGCATAAACATCAAATCCATTTATCCTAGAAAAGGTGTGGTGAGAGGGAGTTCCTAAAAGCTCTGTTTAGCATAAGGTTGTTGCATACTAGAAGAAAAAATAACGGAATCTTCCTTCACTGTTCAGGAAATAGAGATGTATCATTGTGTGTATCTCGGATATAGGAAGGCTTTTAGAACTGCATAAAAAGAAGCTTTTTTTAGATATCACCATTGCTACATGTTACAGTACAAATACTAACGGAAATGATTCCTCAGCATTACATTTTTCATGGTATATCATCCCCTGTCACCCCATTATATGACACCGTGAATCACACCAGGACATGAGGCAAAATAAGAGCTGAAGGATTACACAACATTTAAAGAGGGGAGACTCTCAGATAAAAATCCAAAGGACATAAAAGGCTATTACTTAACATTGGTTTTATTGCTGAGAACATATATACACACAACTAAGTTTTCTCTTTTTGGAGATATTAAAACTATTGTATTTAGGGACTCTTAACAAATTCTCTAGTCCTAGCAAAATGCTACTTTAGTGCCTAAGAACAATAGTTCCTTGCAAGTTTGGGAACTACAGTAACATTTTGTATAAGCAAAGGAAGCAAAGGATTTCACAGGAAACTGCTCCTACAATCACACGATTCAACTTCATGGGATTACCCTTCAAATTTAGAAATTGGACCTGGCAATAGAAATAATTTTACCATGGGTTCCACTTAAAGCGCTGGTTTAAGAGGTATACAATGTAAGTATGTATGACAAACGAAAATACTCAGCTGAAGTAAAGTTCCTTACCAAAAACATGGACAACCTTTGAATCCTGAAGCATGGAGTTCCCACAGGAAGCTTGCACTGTAACTCTAACTTCACCTGTCTCAGCAAACCTTGCCACCAAAAAACTCTCCAATGTAAGAAGTGGCTTTAAAAAAAGAAAAAGTTCAAATTACGTTTTTAGCAAGAACCATGAGAATATTGTCTAAAGTGGCAGTTATTAAAAAAATCAGACAAAAAGATTTCACATGAATCATTTTCTAGAATACTAGTCAATATTTCAAAAAACGGTTCAAATGCAGTTTTCGAACATAGAAAGTCGCCTTCTCCTAATGGATTGTCTCTCTATATACAATAGTTACCAGATTAGGCAAATATTTCTTTTAGAATAATTGGCAGAGCATTAGGTTTTGATTCAAATCCCAGTGAAAGAAATATATTTTGAATCAGGCTCACTAAGCTTCACCAGATCATATTCAGGGAGCCATTTGCCTCAAAAAGTGTCATCTGTAGTTAAGATCAAATGGACTACTTCTGTCATCTTATAGCATGACCCATGGAAGATCATCAATCTACTGTAACTTCAAGGTGGAGCTGAGATATTTTTTCTCCTGACCAAACCTGAATGAACTACAAAACCCTCCACAACACTGGAGTGCCTCTTCTAACTTGGCTCAGTCACTAAAAATGAACAGATGCAGGCCAGAATTATCACAGATAGCATGTTTACATGAAAAGAAAAAGTGCTGAAAGGAAAATGTGCTGAAAAAGTACCTGAAAGTAGCCCAGTTTCAGAGACTGCTATTACTGTCTCGTGAGAAAAATATTTTACTTACCTAACGTTAAAAAAAAGAACAAAACTAATTCTGCTAGACCAGAAATTTTCCCAATAGAAATACTTGGATCTTGAGGACATTTGTATGTAGATTACTATCTCTAAATAAATATCTTATCTTGTTTGAATGCTCTTAGTCCCTCTTAGACAGGAAATGGTCTGAAAATTTAAATCAATTCTAAAAGGGAAACTTTCATTTTCACATAAGTAGTAATAAAGGAAAATGAACAGCCTAAAATATGTGATTAAACAACGGGATTCAGGTAATGTTTGTTAGAGGATATGTGAAATGATAGATGGTCTCCATGAAGTAATATAAAGTGAGAGTACTTTTGCTAGAGTAAAAGTGTCACTCAGTCTTTACTGGAAAAAGGTTGAAAATAATCTAAAGTCAAAACTTGATTTTCCATAAGCTTCACGTACCTGAAGACTGTTTCCTATCCACCAGTAGAAGACTGTCAAATTAGGATTCTTTGGCAATATGATGGCTGTCAGGTTCACCTCCTGGTTTCTGCCAATGACTGGAAGCACTTCCAAACTTAAAGCCTGTAATGGAGCTGAAAAAAGTTCCCAATATTTCACTGAACAAGAGCCCATCAATTTACCAATGCCTGTTTCACCAAATGCTGCATAGCAACCTGCAAAAAGACCTCAGTAAATCCTAAACTTATTTCTCCCTCCTTCTCTACATCTGTGTGGAAAGGTACATTTGGAAGGACTGCATTGCAATCATTTTTTTTTAAAAAAACAAATAAATGGAAAAACCACAAACAAAATCCTAGAGTAATGTGCCAGATTAATGTACTTTTACAACATACTTTTTTCGGTGTGCAAGTCCAGTTCTAGAGACCAAAATCAAATATATTGCAGTTAGAAAGGCGAAAAGACAATCTCAGCTTTTTCATTTAAACAATGAAAGATCAAATGAACAGAAATCTAACAGACCTCTCAAAGTTCTATGGGAAAAGCAGAAAAGTGAAAAAGAAAAATATTGTTTATTTTCATTATAAAAATATCAAAATAAAAAAAAATATTTAAAAGAAATTCGTCAGTAAAACCTTCTTATGTTGTTCCTAATGTTGTACATGTATTTTGTTTCACAGCACAGAAATACTATGGAAAGAAAATTGCTATTTCAGAGTTTTCTCTCATATCTTTTTCACAATGTCCAAAGATGAAGGATTTACAATATTATAAAGTGATAACTAGAATTTCCTAGGTTGCAGGTTCTATTCAGGCTATGAAAGTACTGTACTATCCAAAATTCATTCATTACATAGAATGAATACCAACCAATTAAAATTTGTTCTAAGTATCTTTTAACTTATTCAAAGGCCTTTCATCTCAATTTAAAATTAAAGGTACTTACATTGGCCCAGGGCCTTTATCTTACTCTCTTTCATTAACTAAATGATTGCCCATTCACTCTGACTAGGAGATTAGACCTCTGAGAGCAGGTAGCCCGAATTCTAAACCCAACCCCTTTTTTCCACTTCACTTCAACCAGACTGTTTGCTGCTTCACTGGAACATAAAATATCCTATTTTTATTCTGCTTCCTCTCTGTCTACATGAAAGTGAATTCAAGAAATACTGTGCAGATTTACTTATACCTTCTTTATGAAATTGAATTAAAACACTCTCTTAAAACACTTAAAACACCAGCAATAGCTGGTGTCTTGTGAAAAATTCAAAAATTGTAGGAATTTCATAAAATTTGCTATGCTTCAAAAAAGGTTTCTTTCTTTCTGATAATACAAGAACCACAGAAGAAATCCAAATCATGCCTGATTTTGTAGTTTGCCATTCCTATACATTAAAGATCTAACAATAATTATTGTGATTCCATTTGCCTCAGTTGCACAATTCCATAATGCCGAATAGCACCCTTGGATATATATTTAGGAATAAAATTAATTTATGTGATTTCTGTTTTACCAAGCTATAATTTCAGTACATTTTTTCAAAGCTTCCTGATTCTCTATATCAATTTCTACAACCCCAGCATTTCACACTCCTGCACTGCAGAGATCAGAGTCTCAATCCCACACACAAAAAAATGTACACCCACTCATTCTTCCTTTAAAAAAAATAATCTGGGTTATCTACTTATACTTATACTACCAAACTTGCTCTAGTTTCTTTTGCAGATTATTAGCAAGTTGTAGATCTTGTGCTGTAGACTTTGAGCTTTGCATCAGGAACTGCAATTTGGATCACAATCTAAAATTTATTTAATTGTTCTTCAATATAGGACATTCCATACTGATAGAACTTGACAGGAGCCAAGAAAAATGCCTTCCTCATTTTTCCCTTATAAAATGTATGGAAAAAGTGAAAACTTAAAAATTTACGGACAATTTCGCTTTCAGGACATTCCGTAGGGGGAAAAAAACCAAAACAACTAGAAACAATTCTTCTATGGACTGCTGAAATATCAGCTTAATTAGTGACAGTTAACTTCCTCCAATATTGCAATTTATTTAGAAAACCTAGCTGTGTAAATCAGATACCAAATATCTATTCAATCTATATCACATGTAATATCCAAGAGCAAGTTTGAGATGTGCTCAGAAATTAACCAACAGATCTGCTTTTGGTAGTCCGTCCTGCCTGAATATTTCAGTTCCACAGCCCTTTAAGAATGTAGTCATTTTATTCTTGCTTGAAAAATACCCCAGGCTCTGCAATTTGTAAATCCACTGAATAAAGCACAATTGGCATCTTTTATTTTTACTGTTTATCCAGATGTAGGCCAAATCAGAAGCACGTTTTGAGAAAGCAATTGTTCAGCTTTCCATCAGGGCTTGTTACTGCTTGCCATTCTCTGAACAACAAGAGGAAATTATCCCTGGAGAATGTCACACAGAGGTTTTGCTGTTCATTGCTTGTACAGATCTACCACCTACTTCTGTACTTAATTTTCCTCTCAGCACCTAGAAGCTCCTAAGAAGTAAAAGAAAAGTCTTAAGCAAATTCTCTGACACTGGAGCTGTAAAATGGTATTACTAGATTTAGAAAACAAAACACAACACAACAAACAACAAAAATGTAAAGCAAGCGAGCCAGGCAATTAGTTTCGGATCCTTTCAGTTTTGCCATTAGCATTAATGGATTGGTCTCCATCTGGCTAATCAAGGCAGAACTAGAAAACACGCTGGATTGAGGGGCACTCAGAAGTAAAATATAGAAATACCAGCACTTACTAGATAGGTAGCATAAAATACACAGATTTATGCACACAGAAAAGTGATTTCCGCACTTTTGTTTTGTTTTTGACAAATCTGAAAAAAGGCAAAGCCATAAATGTCTTGCATCTTGAAGGAAGAGGAAAACCCAGTTTGAGCGTCTTAATTTCAATCATGAGATGACTGGGATACATTAAGCTTTTGCTGATGCATGATATTTCCAGTTTTGTGCAGTTCTTTTAAATCCACTTGATGGTTTTTATTTGGGTCTTAATTAAGAAGGGAAGGGTAGAATTCTTTGTAAAGTAATACTGCCTGCCAGCATACAGTTAAATTCAAATAACACATTAAAACTTCGTGAGAATAAAGCTTACAATCTAAAACTAGATTCAAATACTAGTAACCTGGGTTTTAAAAATGCTGTAATTTGGATCCTTCCACCAATACATACTTTTAGAAAATCCTGCAAGAGCATGCAAGAAAATCATTCAAAAGCATGGGCAGATACATTTTTCAGTATTTGTTCACTTACTTCACACACTGCATGTAGCCTGAAGTGCTATGTTTTACCTGCTAAGATTACCAATAGGGTCTTCAGTCAGGACAAGTGTCAACCATGAGATTTTAATTGAGCTGTGTGTCCTACTTAAAGCTATTCAAAGACTAATAGACCACTCTCCCAAATCTGAAGAAAACTAACTCTGACCTCCTCATACATTTAGGTTCATAAGCCTCTGCATTAATAACATACAGCAGTATGTGACTGTAGGAGATTATTGAAAAAAAGAAAAAATATTTTTTATTAATTGTGACTAGCAATTTTTTTGCCTCATAATTGTCATAAACTTTTTATGAAGCTATAAAATCAAGGAAACTAAAGAGCTGACTTACAATTAACTTGGACAAACATTACGGCCTCATCATGCCCAGCAACATTCTCAGCCTTAACCGAGACACGATAAATCCCGGGGTTCTCGTAACGGTGACGAATTGGTTCTCCAGTCATTGTAAGATTCACATATATTGCCTTAAATCCATCTCCAAGATCTACCTGGTATTTGGTATTCAATATATCGCCCTAGAAGGAGAATATAATAACAATGTTTTAATTGACTAGAACTTAAATATACAGAATACATTTCCATAATTTCTTGAATTACAGCAGTATTTCCAGCACCATCCAGATGTTTTAACTCAATTGCAGTTGTTGCAGTAAAACCATGAAACCCATTACAAAGATTTTAGAGCAACAGATGTCGTCCGCATTAATAGACACAGTATTAATCATCCTCAGTAAGGCACTGTCCTAAAATAAAACAGCCTACATTATTAACAAGGTTGTAAGAATTCCACAACACAGAAATCACCTTTGCCTCATGTGTCCGGGCATTAACCAGCATAATGGTGTAAAGCAACCCCAAGTTCTAGGGTTATGCTCACACCATTGCCAACAACTGAGTATTGGTGTTTAGCAAATTATCACTCATCAGTGCCCTGTGTTAACTGATCAACTCTGAATTTCTAACCCATGAAAATATAAAGTAGAATTAATTGGTTTAGACCATCTTCACAGGACCTTGTAATTACAGCCTCTGTGTGTCGACTCTATGGCCTTTACAACCCAAGCTAGTATGCTTGCACTGCATTATACACAACTACCAGCACATTTAGAACTAATATGTTCTATTGCAAAATTAGATACATGCTTAACGAAGCAGAGAACTGATCTGACTTTGGGAAAGAATTTAAAAATCCAATCAAGTTCTATTCTTCAAGCATCTCAAGTGCTTTATAATTCATCGTACCTTTAAATGACACTCTCTTCCAAAAGTCGGATCTAGAAAGCTTCAGTGACTGATATTGCCATCAGAGGCACCATCACTCATATTCTTACAGTGTGGCTGCTATGGAGTAGTCAGGCCTGTGCTGTGTGAATTGACTACATCCATGGAGCTAAAGGAAAATTCACCTCAGCTGCCAAAAGCAATGTTTTCTTAATACCACGGCTCTGGCGGCAGCACTGGCTTAGCATGTTACCCTTCTTCCTCTGCTGTCTGTAATAGATTCCTGCTCTTCTTGCTGCTGTGCATTGTCATCACAGTTGTACAACTGAAACAGGTTGTGGGGCCAGACTTTGTAGAAAATCCTCTATATTGTAAAAACAGTGTTGGTTTGACAATCCTCATTGCCTCCAGGAAAGGAACTTACATATCCAAACTCTTGTCAGGTGACTTGAATGGCAACCAGACTAGAGAAAGATTGCAATCCATCAAAGTATTGAGAAACCACTTCGCTTCCACATGAAATAGGTTTAGATCAGAACTTCATCCCCAAAGGCAGCACTGATGTAAAATCAAAGTAGGCAATAAAGCCTGCAACTTTCAAACTCTTCTCTCACACAAGGGAGGAATACTTGTTTGGAGTTGTTCTTCGCCTTTTATTATTTTGCAGTTTCATTGATTTTCTTCCATATGAAAGAATGCTTGTAACTTAGGAGAATACTCATAATAAGAAATCTGTACAGCTATCAAATATCTGAACCTCATATTTTAACATAAACAAAGGACTTTGAAAGGGCCCTCACTGTGAGTTTTTTTTTTTTAATATAATCTTTCTTTTGACAACAGATAGGTAGAATTTAGCGTATGAGACAATATATTATTACTTGAAGTATATACTACTAGATAAGAGATGTCTTTTTCCCAGCAATGTGACTGCAAGCACAATGTCTTTAGATGACATTAGCTTACAAGTCGTTCTTATATGCTGTTTCTTATGCCAACAAGTGTTACTTGCATATTTTCTCCAAGTGAGAGAGGAACAATACGAACAGTATGGAAAGGCAGTAGGCACAAGTTTCTCTTTATGTTTTGTTCCAACTTCTTTCCTAACGTAAAGATTCTCATCTTTACATTGCAGTGCAGTGTTCAAAACTTTTTGAACCAGTCTCCCTGACCTGACAGATAATAAAAGACTTACATAGGAAAAATGCAGCTAAATCTAACAGGAATTGGAATTTCACTCCAATCTCACTGGAAATAGTTATTTTCATTTGTTATTCATACATCCAGCTATTCCTAGCTTCAGCTATATGGGAAAAAGAACAACCCAAAAGGAATGGACACCTGTTTTCTTTAAGCTTTGATGCCTGGCATTTCTGCACCTAGTACCATGCATTCATATAAATTCATAATTTAATACTGGTCATCAGACAGATATAGGAGCATGTGTTGGTTCATCTTAGTGAACCTGCTTCTTAAACTCCCTAATTGTTATGAATCTTCATGAGACTGCTATACATATACAGTAAATCTTAATTCTCAGCACATTTGAGTATAAATATTGATTCTTAGCCATAGGGGGCAGCAAACTGTTACATTTCCTGTAAGTCTTTATCCAGTCCTATGTACTGAGCGAAGATATCACCAGAAATGCAAGCAAGGGATTCCCTTTTAGACTCCAGTCTTTTGAAGATTTTTTTTTAAATAGTTATAAATGTTTTACATATTGCCACGGAAATTCATGAAAACTTCAGAATCTATACAATAGGGAGTAAAAAGTCCAGCTGCTGATCAAAATCATTAATTCCAAATTACACTCGAAAGCTCTACACTTACAGCAAACATTTCAAAACTAATTAAGAGAAGGAAGTGTTGCTTGCCACACAACTGTCAGTGCGCTGCAAGCACTTGGATCCAGAACCTGCTACGTGTTAAGTAGTACTGTGTTCTGCACATAGCCCCATTTTATTGTTTTTATTACAGAAATAAATCCCAACTCTCTCATATATATCACACGAGCTTGCCAAAATGTGTGAACTTACTTCAAGCTCTTGCAAATCAGTGGGGTCAGCCAGGCTGGACAATTGCCTATTGCCTGAGCACCACAGTTTGAACCTCGTATCTAAGAGGCAAGCATTACCAGGGCAGGTAACACATCTGACAGCTGCACACTGCCTTTTGGTCAGGACCTAGGGTGTTGTCTCTTTCAATAAACAGAAAAAAAACATATGTCTTTGGCTATACAACATACTACATAATACATGTTCTTATGCTGTGTTAATTGTCTGTTTCTGTAAAGTTTTGCCTGATTCATTTTGGAAAGGCAGATTTTTAAAAAGCGCTTAAATCACAATATGAAGTGCATTTCTATATATTTCTTCTCTGATATAACAGGTGAAATTTTTGGTCCAAGAAGACTTTGGCACTTCAGCTTATTTTGAACTGTGCTTTGGTACTTCAGTTTCTTTGAACTGGGGATATGCAAGAAGCTAATGTCTCTAGGGAGCAATGACTGGACATGCAGCAGAGGAGACAAATCCGACCTTGTGGACAGAACTCCAGGCTTCACTGAGTTCACTGGATCATCAGAACAGAATAGAAATTTCAGTACTTACAGACTCATTCATCTTTCTTTCAAGCACTAATTAATCTCATACATCAGCAAAGCAAAGAGGAGAGAAATCGGAGTCTGTAATGAACCCTAAACACAGTGAAGAAACTTTCATAGAGCCTTTATTACTACCTGCTCCTGTCTGACAATGAAGGTGATGTCTTCCCCAGGCTTAACAGCCAGGCTTTCCCCTCTGATGCTGATCTGGAGTCCTTTGGGAGCAATCAATGGACACATATGTTGTGCTAAGTTCTGCTGCAGGTCCACACCACCTTCACACACATTAGAAACAACTTTTCTGTACCTGAAAAACAGTAAGCGGCGAGCACAGTGAGTTGGAGATGAGCAGAAGAATGCTTCCAGAGGCACTCCATACTAGTGTGACATGAATAATACTTGGGTTCATCAACAGACAAGATTGTGGACAACTGAGAACACCTCACAGTGCAAAAACTTCGATGGACGTTGTCTCTGCTAAGCCAAATCTGTTGAAGTAAGGGAGCTTGGAGCATGATGAGGATTTCCCTTACATGCTTTGGAATGCTCAGTCCTTCCAAATTTAAAAACATGCCTGATCATCTCACCAGGAACTAGTTATTCCATCATCCTCTCTGCCATACCCTTTATCTTTGAACACTCTGTACTACACCCAGAGGTCTTGGCTCCTGGATTTTGCTGACTTGGACCTTAATCTTACCCTATTCTAATTTTGCATTAAATGTGGTTGCTCAAATCCCAAGGATCAGGAAAAATCAGACCAAGCAACTTCTGCATTTCCCCATAACTACTTACTTTGCTACTCTCAAATCTATGCATTTCTTACAATATTTGAAGCATTTATTTTATATAACTGTCTAAAAGAGCAGAAAGTCTCACATTTTTCAAACGATAATAATGAAACACTTGGAAGTATTTACAGATCACTTTCACTCAGGTATATTATTTTTAAGTATCCTTTTGAAATCTGAGACAGATTTTACTTTTCTGAATTCACACTTTGTATATCATAGCTGTCAGTCACAATCCAAAAGGTATCATTTTCCTTTGTAAGGCAAAAATACCCATAGACCATGGTTCTACTGCCAGATTTGACATTTCATCATGTGTTTCTCATCTCCAGAACTGACAGAGACGAAGTTATGATAAGCCAGAATAGATGCCAGCTGCAAGTTATTCTCAGCACTGATGTCAGACTACGCTGTAGTGTATATTCTATGCACTATTGTCCATGGTTCTCTAAAGCTTTCCTTTGATTCCGAGCATCCCATATGGTTAGCAAAATAATCTTTTCTTTATAGAATACTTCTTTTTTTCTCTTTTTCCTTATGGAAGTAAGAGACAGTTGGAAGTTCTCTTAGATGTTACTTATCTCTCACTCTAATTCATTGGATTCATATTGGAATTTGGTCTAAAACAAAGCAAGGTACTAAAATAAAAGGTTTTGAATGGTCATTACTATCTGAAATCTGGGAACAAGAACATTATCCCTCTCTTCAAATAGGTTAGTTTTTGAACCTTTGTGAATATGTAAAGTAATATTTCTATCTTTCATTGTTTCTGCACATGATCTAAATCACACTCAGAACTGCTTACACATTTACTAATTTTTTAGTAAAACTTATTAATTTCACTAAATTTACTAATTTACTAATTTCCTCCACTCTGGAGATCCCTGCAAGACGGAACATAAAATCACCTTACCCAGTGCTGCTTGTATACGCCTGTCCCAGCACACAGTCTTCAGGAGGTGCCTCTGGGTTAAACCAGAAGTCAGCAAAACATTTGCTAGAGTCTGATTTCAGAGCTGCAGAGCGCTCAAACCCATAATCACTGAAAAAAAAAAAAATCAAGACTGAGTATGTTACTATCCATGCTTTGTTAGGGAATCTAATTTAGTGTGGATAAGACTACTTCTTTAAGAATAAAGGAGGTTTTGTAAAATTATCTGCTACCAGCTGGACATACAACTTGATGAAGCCAGTTACGTTCTAAGGGGTAATTTCAACGGGAACTGGATACACCTGCAGGCAAACTAGTTGTAATTATTTTTTCAGTTCTGCACCATTAACTCTCTTGTTAGCTTAGATTTTTAAAAGGTCTCTCTTGCCACACAAACTAATACACATCATCTTCTTTTGCTCCATTTGCAAATAGAAAGGGTTTGTTTGTTCTATAAATCCAGCCCAGTGGTCATTTTTCAATTCTTAATCAATACAGAAAAACATCAGGATGTGTTCAGTTAGGTGAAAAAAAAAATTAAATGCAATGTTTTTCAGAAAAGCAAATACAAGTACACCTCCATATTCAAATCAATTGCACTGTTTTTTCATTGTTTGTAGGCTGCTTTGTGCAGAGGGAAGGGCAAAAGGAGAGAAAGGCAAACATCTCAGAGTAACATTTTATGACTGATAAATCTAAAAGCCCACAGACTCACCATAAAAAGTCAGAGTTCGCACATTCACAAACTCTGGATGTGAGAGCTGACGTGAAACTCCTCCCTTTAATGCACCATGATGAAATCTTCCTCTTCCGAAAGCTTCTTTGTTGACCCATGATGCAACGATCACCCTGAACATCAAAGCACCAGATTTATTGCATGCCATAACCTACACCAAACAGACACGTTCTTATGCTGTCACGAGAAAGGCTGGTTTTGCTGCCAAGACTGTAAACTTTTACTGTGTCTCTAGTTTATCATCAATACAGAGCAATCTATAGCAAGTGGTCTTCGACAGACAACACTAAGAATGTAATCACAGAATTTGGATCTTGCAATAGGCTGTAGGAAAACAGACACATCAAAGCAGGAAAAACATATTTCCAGAATTCTCCCAGATGAGTCTGCTCTTCTCAAGACAGTTAGAATTTCCCTTGTGACCCATGGCATACATTCTCCTTTTGACTGAGTGAAGCATATGTGCTACAGCCTTCTCCCTTTCCCCACCTCATCACTCTCTGTAAGCTGAATTTGCCTGTAAGGCTCTCACATCCACTCTTGTCTGCTAACGAAAACATGGCAGAGTTGTAGAATATGCTCACCTACGGAATTATTTCTCAGTGAAATATTTATCGGAACAAATTCAAAGATGTGCATGGAAACTCAAGTGCAATTAAACCCACGTTTCATGTGTGTACAACCCAGGCACAACTGTACAACTGGCTGTTTAAATACTCAAGACTTTCTTCAGACGGCTGAAGTTCTATCTAAATCACCAGGAGTTGGATAGCTAGTCAAGAGGAAACACCAGGAACACAGGTGCAGACACAGTTCAGACTGAACCTAACACTCCACAGCTAACTGAGAAGCTGCAAGGACTTTATCAAAGTCATTTCAGCAGTTTCTAATTTCTGAAAGACACTTCAGTGCCAGTATCTCAAAATACTTTTATTGTTTAGGTGCTGATCTGCATAACATTCTTAGTGAATACACTTCACTCCCAAATGGAAAGCATAAAATTAGGCATGGGAACTAGCAAATGAGAGTTGGGGAGCTGTAACAATACTGAATAGCATGCAAAAAAGAAACCTGCAGAGAGAGAGAACAAATGTACTGGAAGAATTGTAAACATAATAATCACAATGATTATGAACAAATATGACATATCACGCTTAATGTAAATAACTCACATTGGGCTCTTTAAATAATGCACTATAAAGAGACTATAGCTGCTCAAAATTGAATTTGGACGGAGTGCCAGCACAGGCTTAATGCATTACTGCAAAACGGTATTGCCCAGAACAACTGGACTCCACTACATGATTGTCCACTGAGATTATAAATTACCTCTGGAATGGGTCCTACTCATGGAAATTTCAATATGAGTACAGTATGCAGTCAGGGAGTTGGCAGAACATACAATGGCTCGTTCAGATTGCTTCAATCCATAGTACAGATTTTAATTTATGGTATATGCTTGATAATCCAGCAAGACCACCTATTATTTTGGCAGACCACCAAATACACTTGAGTCTTTCCAAGGCTACAGTTCACACTAATAAAGGGAACACAAAATGTTTGGCCATTTTAAACTGTTCTGAAATCAGCAAATACCAGCCTAAGGAGATGAAAGCCAGGGAGGTGGCAGCCCAGTTTTATTAGAAAACATTTTCTTAGCAGACAATTCTACATAAATCTGAAAGTTCCTCAGATATGATGGCCTTTTAATACAAGATTGTGAATACCTGTAGATTTGTGAGGTCCCAAGATTCATAGTCATCATCAGTGCACTCCCTGGGGAAGGATGGTCTGAAGTCTACCTTCACCAGCTCCCAGTCGGAACGGTAACTAATATGTCCAAAGACTCTAAATAGAAGATCGAGAGTAAGATCTTACAAGAAAGAAATATCATACATTTGAGATTTCAAGTTTTCAGCTTTCTCTCCTGATTTCCATTGGCAATTCCTTACTAAATGTCCCTGGGATTTGTTCTTCTACATTTTTTTTAATATATATAATGTGCCTACTTAGAAAACATTTATTAGTTGTCCATGGAACTCTATAGTGAAAAGATACAGCTCAGAGATTGGATATTTTTTCCCCCAGCAAACCATTAAATTCCTAGATAGAAATATGATACTTTTTCCAATTGGGAATCAAGCACTTTTGTCTATCATCTTCGTATACGAGATGCACAGAAATATCAGATTTTGATCAGAGGTCATACAAAAGAGCAAGACCTAGGGATCCTAGATTCAATTTCCAGGTCTGTCATTCATTTCTATGATTATGGCCTAACACCTTCAACTTTCTGTGACTTGCCTTTCACAGCCTTCAAATGCCAATATCGCTATTGATCAAACCCATAGAATCATGAAATTGTATTTATTTTCAAGGAATACTGTAAATGTACACACTGTTCTGGAGAACTCTGACTCTCCTCCTCTCTCCCTGCAAATTCCTTAAACTCCTTGCTTTAAAAATCAGGCTTTGCTTTCAAAGTAGCCAATAGTTTCAAAGTCAGATTTATTTCCAAAACAAAATGGGTAAGTATGACATCCACCAACAAATTAGAATGGATAAACTCTGCTTGTGCAAAAGACAAATATATTTGTGGTTTGCATTAGAATGCTCAGATTTATGTGACTTATTTGCCAAAGAATTTAAGGTTGATCCGAAAGCCAGCAATTTCTGGGTAGCTCATACTGAACAGAGTTCATATTCCGAGAATTCTCCAAACTAATTCACTAATTTTCCTCTGTTCAAATCCAGACACAGCAAGAATGGCACGGATTTACAAAAAGTACTCTGTGCATACAGTCCCTTCTTCACTTGTCCTGAATACCAGGTTTAAAGAAGAACTTGGGTAGAGCAGAAGTGAGGATATAGTGGATTCTCTGCAAAATACAGAGTAAAAACATTTCACTAAGACTGTCCCAGTTGAAGGACATGGAAATCCTAAATCTGCCACAGAGGTAGAGAACATTGTAGAGAATGTGGAATAGTAATTTCCCCTTTTCCTTTCTACTGTCTCTGCTACTCAACCATAGTAAAGATGTAGATACTGTCTACAGATGGTTGCCCATATACACTTTATAACAACTGAACAATTCATGCTTACAGGTAACTTCACCATCCCAAGTGCACTTAATCAAACAGAAATATGAATTTCTTCATTTTGCATTTTTTACTCTTTTCTAAGAAAGACGTTGAGATTAGGACTTAGATGACCTACCTTCTTTCTTTTAAAATCTACCCTTGGTTCAGTGGTAGAAACGAAATACAAAAGTCTAAAAACTGTAGCTCAGCTGTATGAACACACAGGTGTGGGGTCCCACTTTCCCCAGTTGCAGGAGTGCCTTTGCATTGACAACCACAGGATTGGTTCCTTTTTCTGGTTCAGTTATATCCTAAGAGTGGCTGTCACCATATGCTCCTATTCACATGTAGTTACATACGCTATAAAGCGACTACTTAGGTGGTCTCATGCTTTTTTACACAATGCCTACTTCAATATGATCTGTTTTGCTGACAGGTATGAAGTGTCTTTTGCAGAGTAAATACCTGTTCCTTACTTTTTCCCTTGAAATAAAGGAAGGCAGACTTCACTATGTGCTTATGTAGCTTCTTTACAGACCACAAAACATTTTAAACTATTCGCATGTCTTTTATTAAATAACCTACCAACAAACATCTTTAAGTGCAAGGAGCCAAGCTGTGTCAAAGCCTCACTCCTGAGAAGGCTACTTTCTACAGAACAAATGAATTGTTTTTCATCCATACTAGATATCTCAGGCAGGTTAGTCAGGAAGAGAGAGGGAAGGAGATGGTTTGAGGATATTAGTTCTTTGTTGGTACCAGTCAGCACAGAGTGCATCTTTCAGTGACAGGAAAGAATCCACAGTTTCAGATAATTCCTCCCTTTCCTTTTTAGATCAAAAATTAATCCATTTATATTTTAACACTGTATTAGCATCAACTTAACAATAGCCAGAGTACAGCTATGGTCAGGGGAAAAAAATGTGCACAAGCACATCTGGCCAAGCTTCCAGACTGCAGGACAACTCTAAGCAGAAGTCTACAACGAATAGGGAGTCCTTCTGCTAGTTCAGCTTTCATGTAATTAACACACAATTTGCATATGGAGGACTGGTCTGGGCTCTGCAGGAAAGGACTTTCTGTCGTAGGGTGAGATCCTTCCATTTAACTTTCAGTTACAGCATTCCAAAAATGTTTTAGTGTAACACAAGTACTTATTTTAACATCAGTACAATGATGGTAAAAATAAATTTTTAATGCAAACACACACTCGGCCAATAAAAGTTGAGAAACATTTAGAGAAGTTGCATGAGTTCAGGGCTGCAGAGAATCATGAAATTCTCCTGAAAGTGTAAAAAAAAAAAATTCTCTGAACTATTAATAATCATCTTTGAGACCTCATGGAGGATTAAAGTGATTCCAGAGGACTTGGTAGGCAAATAATCTGCCTAAATACAAGGCAACAAAAAGGAGAAGCCCAGGAATTAGAGAGTTCACTTTGATGCCCCCAAAGATATCAAATGCCCCAGCTATCCACTTATAGGCATCTTGGAAATAATTAAGATAATAAACAGCCACTACAGATTTGTACTACTGATATAATTCTCCTCTTTAACAGGAAAACTAGCCTTGTAGATAGAAGGATAGGAATAAATGAGGCACATTTTGACCTTTCTTAAACCTGCTAGGCAGCTACAGCTGATACTGTCTTAAATGGAAACTGTATGATTGGTCCACAGTCAAAGTTCTAAAATAATTATTATGCTGCCAAAGAACAGACATACAAAACTTTTGTGAGTAACAGAAGGAAATTATTGGAATTCAAATTACACTGACTGATGGAAGAAAAGGTTCCTTTTCCAAAGGGAAAGGTTAAGGAATTATGGTGAATTGTATCAAGAATGCAATGTTGTTACAAAAGAAGAAAAACTAATTCTAGGTTGTATTCAGAACTGTCAGATATAAGACATGGAGGTAATTATTTGGATAAACTTGGCAGTGGTGGAGCCTCTGAAAGAATACAGTGTCTAATTTCAGATGTTACATGCATATTTACAGACTCATTGAAAATGGACTAGAGGAGGGGCAAGAATGACTCATAAACTGTTTAGAATATGTAACCAAGAAAGAAAAATTGAAAGAACTGGGTTTTCATGTGGAAAAGATAGAGCACAGAAGTAAACCAAAATGTCTTCAATGCGTCTTACTATAAATTGAAATGTCTTCAGAGACCTGAAGTAATGGCATAAAAGGAGAAGGACAAAAATCAAGCTTCAAAGATGCAGCTAGAGAATTCTGAAATAATAATGTAATGACCTACTGAGGCTGTCTGTTCTCCCTTACTGGAGAGAGGAAATACAGAAACATCTGGATGACAGCTATGGATTTGGTAATATTTTAAGATATCTCCAGCTGAAAGTCCAGTAATTTTATTCAACAATAATACAGAAATTGCTGCAGAAGTTTTGGAAATTCTACTATAAAAATATGGAAGCCACAAGTAATATATATGTGAATACAGCAAAGGCACTGGTTTTACTCCCCTCACTGGATTAACTATAAGCCTCTCGGTGGACTTTCAGCAATAGAAATAGCATTTCTGTCTGGCAGTCCAGTCTCTTGTTGACAAAATACTAATTTCTATTATGGCTTTACTAATTCTACATACCTATGGCCATATTTTGATAGAACACAGGAACTATACCAGTGATCCAACCATTCTCTAAGTTAAAAAAATATCATGAAATTTGATAAACAGTGGCTCACTGACACAGCCACGAAAACACTATGTAAAATGCAACCACACAACTTTGGGATTCCTGGAACAAATCATCAAAGGAATCAAGTATCTTACAAACATCTAGCTTAGCAAACTGTTTGAAAACCTGCCCTCATAATTATTAATGTTGTTGCTGCAACAACAGTTGTAGCCTTACTGAGGTCAGGAATTGGCGACACATCAGAACATCCCGTTCTAATGTATAGCCAAATAACTACTGTTCCAAAATACGAAAGTTGTTTTCCAAAAAGGATTCAATGGTTAAACCAAACATATGAACCCCAATAGAGCACTGCATGGTGGCAATCATAGTCTGATTGCTCATATGAACAATATCTCCGTCCAATAACATCATGAATGGGAAAAAAAAGGAATGGGGTAGCGAGTGTAACTGGTAATTATAAGATATATATCAAGATGCTAGCAATTCATTAACTAGCACAATATTCTTCTTGATTAATTATAGTTCATTAGAAAGCCATCAGATCAACTCTATTTTAACTATGAAAGTTAATAGTTTTTGAATAAATAGTTTTTGAAAGAAATTCCAATGCCTTTAGAATTTTTTGCAAGAATTTGAAATCGCTAATTTTAACTTCATCATTTCAGTTGCCATAACAACTTTGTACATTTGTTCCTGCCTCGTTTATGAGCATTCATTCATTTATACACCATTTTTTGATTGCATCATTTGAAAGCCAAGATAGTTTAATGCAACTTTTACGCAAACTCATTTGAACTATTTGCTGGAGGAATTCTAGTTATTTCTGTCCCTGATAAGGTTCATAATCAGGTCATTAATTTAACATAAATCATATGCAACGATAATGTCTTCAAGGAAATTCATGTTTCTATTCAATACAGGCTCTTATTTCACATGAACAGTAAAAAATGCGTCGCTTTCTGTGCCATTTGCAAACCACGAACTGAAGCTATGATGGTGATGATCCTGGAGTCTCTAAAAAATGTATGAAATAAAGATTCTGCTTTGAAACCTTCATCCAGAAGAAGATGCATTTTAGCTATAGCATCTCATGTCATGGCTGTA